ATACATATATATACACATACATATATATACATATATATATAAACATTGGAAGAGTGAATATGACTAATGTTTCTGGCCATGTTTCTGTTTGAGCAGACCAGCAGCAACCTTAGATCTGGACCGCTGTCACCGCAGTAACTGCTGCCATGGTGACAAAGGAAAAGAGGAAGCAGAGATGCTGAGAGAAAGAGAGAGAAGACGCATGCTCTGATGTTCAATAGTAAATGGATTGCATTTACATTCCCATATCTGGACTTGCTTATTGGCCAGTAAAGAGTAACGAACCGACACCAGTAAGTTGTATAGTATGCAAGGGTTTTACCCGATCGGTACTGAGCATGTGCAGCTCTCAATAGAGAGGAAAAAGGAGCCAGAGGGCTCGCTCGTTAGCTACCGAACGCTCAAGCAGCACTCTCAGATACGTCTTCCTGTTAGTGTTCTCCTGGTATCCTCTGCTTGGAACCGCTAGCTAATATTACCAAATATTGATCCCTATGTCCCACCACACACACACACAACAATATCACCCAAGTCTTCTCCATTTTGAACATGTACTTCATCAGATATCCTCTGTCACCTCAGTTCTACAGGACACACATATTGCAGGGGACACTGGATGCTCACTCCTCACTTAACCTATCCTATTGTTGGTGGCTACCTTCAGCGTCTCACTGTAACTATCACTTTAGATTAACCATCATGGTCAATGGTACACGGCGTGTGACATTACTGTGGCTTACCTCTGCAACTTTAGGGGGAACTCCATCTCCCAGCACTTCCCTGTAGAAGCACTGCTGGGTCATGTAGTAGGTGAGGCCGCTCGTTCTCTTGAAGGCATCTTTCAGCCGCTTCAATTCAACATCAGTGACTAGAGAGAAAAAGACAGGAGAAGAAAAGAGATCATAAGCAAACTGTTATAAAACAATCTGCTAACAGGACCAACAGTAAGCACAGCACAAACAAGAGCAGTGTAATGCTAATAAGACTTTAACAAGCACTGTTTTCGACTGAACAAAGATTTAAGTTTGTCCTGAGTAACCAGGACATTGTTTTTGGAAAGTCAAGTTGCTAATGCAATTTTCTAGGAATTATCAAAGTCTCAAAATTCCCAGAAACAAAAAAAAAAAAAAAAAAATCAGGAACATATGAAACACTGCATATGATTAGGAAAATAAAACTGAGACAAAGGTTTTCGTGTTTTGGGTGAAACAAACGAAAAATAGACCGACAAAATGCTCAAAATGTCTCAAATGGACATCACATCTCACTTTTACGTTCGCACGCACACGCAGGTATACCAAAAACAAGGGCTTTGAACTGAACAATTTCAGTCATCAACACTTGGAAATCTGACTGAGTTGCAGCTTCCATGTGTTCACACCTCAGCTACATGATCAAAATGTTGACAGAACTTAATCGATGACCCACAGAGCTGATATGTGAATGATGAAAAAGCAATAATGAATAGATGGTCATGATAGCTCAGCCCATAACTCACGGCCAATGTGCCATCAATAGTCATATTTCAGTCAGTCAGAGTCAAATGCATCAAAGAATTGACCATTTGTAGCAAACGGTAATAGAGACAGGCAGAAAAAGGCTCTGCTGTCAGACAGAGCTCTTAAAGTATCTGAGCAGCAACAAGAACTCAGTTTTCATACAAATCGAAGCACATCAGAATGAGACTGATGATGAAGGGAGCTGCAGCAGCAAAACACTGCAGCATGACGGTAGAGCAGTAGTGGTGAAAAGTGTCAGGTTACAGTCGGCTTGTTTGAGATGATCCAGGCCTGAGCACGATCGATGCAAAACAACGCAGCACGTTAGATCTCTGCCTGAGTTTATCCTGACCTGCTTTGGCGTCATGGAGACATAAGCTAAGACAACCCCATGAGATCAGGGCGGCTGCAGTATTGGAACCAGGCACCTCACTTGTTATCCACCATTGTGGTGTCTGCAGCAGCACCAGACAGTGAAGTGGCGTTACTGCTCGTGGACAGGTTGGTATTTGTAAAATACTAGTACAGTGTAGTTATTACATTTACTCATTAGCAACCTTACTAATGGCTGAGAGTAATATGTAGGCGACGTTAACAACCTTGCTAACGCCAGGATGTGATATGAAGCCAACGTTAGCGACCTTGCTAACAGAGTGTAATATGTAGACAACGCTAATGACCTCACTAAGCGCTCAGTGTAATATATAGCTAACATTAGCAATGTTGCCAACACAGAGTATAATATGTTGCCAATGTCAGCAGCCTCGGTAAGGGGTCAGTAACATGTAGCCAATCAGAGGGGGGGGGGGGGATGTTTTTGATACGTTAAATTTAATCATTAACCAAAGTGGGCCTGTATAGACAAAGCCTGTTCGGCTAAGTCTTACAGCTGTTAAACTGAATTTTAATAAAACAATTTTGGAAGTTGAACTTTTTTAATACTTTAATGCATTTTTATATTTAATTCATCAAGTAGTGCAACATATATTCAGTAACTTGCCTTGTCCTTTCAGACAAATAGGGAATACAATATTAAATAACAAAACAAAAGGTTAAATGCTGATTTAACATGCCCAAATTCAAGCCTCCTTTCAGGACCATGGATAGCGCCACTTGACAAGGCGTGCCAAAACACCCATTTAGAAACTTCAATATTTAATAGAAAATACAGACAAGTCATCAGCTACACCTCAGCAGGCCTCTCAACTTCAACTGTTTTCACATAGGACTGTTGCTACACTTCTGCAGTGGCAAAGATGTGGAAATGTGTGTGGAGATTTGTCTGCACCACTCTTTTCACACTGTGCCTCAGTAGCAATTCAGCCTCCACACAACCAGTCAACGGCAGCGCCCAATGGAACGGACAAGACTAGCCGTAGTTAGGACAGCTTCTTTAAAAAGAGTTGCTACATGGTACCATCATGGATATTTTTGGGAATGTATCACACTTCTACTCACTATCACCACTTTTGATCTCTCTCTTATTTCACCCAAGCAACCACAACTCTCCATCAACAATCAGGTCACGTTACTGGTATTTCTTATCGGCTCTACTCTGAACAGCAGTTGAGTGAGTGGTAATCCATTGCTTCACAGTCTAACCCTTTCACAACATCAACGTGAGCTAATTATATTACTGTGCTGTTCCTGTCATATGGAAAAGCACTCACGCCGTGCTGCATCTTCAGCTCGGACTCTACACTTCTACCATCTGCATGGAAAATATCAGCATGAATGGAATTGATGCAGAAATACAGTTGTGCCAAATTTGTGCATTGTTAATTCTGTAAGCGTCTAAGTTGACTTGTTTGCCTTCATTCACAGCACCGCCGTGCTGTCTCTCTCCTCTATCAAAAACTATACTGCCTCGCCTTTCTGGTTTACAGAGACTTAAAAAATGAAATCATTAATAGTTTTTACTCAACGGTGTACTTCAACAAATATCTCTATCTTCCAAAGTCCAAATAACAACAAAAGTGAATGTAACCATGAGTAAAACAGTCAAGATTTGATTGCAGGGTGAGACAGGAACACTCCTATTGAACAGACACACACACACACCTTTTACAAAGTATATATTGGTTTGCCTTGTGAACTTTTTTCTCTCCACAGTAACCATTCATACAGCTGTAAGACGTTACTCTAGCAGAGACTCAACACAGTTTCTTTTTGACTGTGGTCAGTTGGCTTTAAAAAGCCAAATCAAATGCCCTCAAAGAGCGCCCTCGGCTCCATGAATCATTTATTTTTTGTCATTCAAATACATGACTTGTATTTTGCTGCGCTCTCTTCCAAAACCTTTGTCCTAACCTAATCTACTGCTACACTACAAACAAAGGGATCTGAAGAAGCAAATGAAGCAAATAAAAGAGGAAACAATAACAGGACGCTGGTGTTGACAGAATTGATGTAATAGAGGATTGATGAGGACTTGGTGGGAATTTAACTGAATAGAGCTGTTAAAATGAGGGGGTCAGCTGATAGTGAGGGAATTTTTATTTGTTTTTTACCTATTTTCACAATGGAGCTTTACAAAAATTCTCCCAATTACCTCATGTATTTAATATATTGTGGAAGATATATGACCGGTGAAGCATCAAAAGAAGTGTAAGTGCAGACTGAATGTATCTAGCTATTCAGGCTTTTCTCCCGTCAGTAAAGATTAGCAAGGCCTGGAATGAGGCTTTGTAAGACTTCCAGACTAAATAAGCACTTGACACTGAAGGGAACAGGTTTACTGTAACTGCATTAAAGGAATGCGCTAACAATTTTGGGAAATACCCTTTTTTCCCAGGAAGCATAAAGTGTAAAAGTGTCTTCTTGCTGCCTGGCAATCTCACAGTGACAACAAGACTCCAGGAAGCAATCGCACCCAACCAGGAAATAGTCCCGCACTCCACCCCTCAAATAATCATGTGCTGTTTTTTACAGCTCAGTTTTTGTAAAAATGTAACAAGCGAGACATGACCTGTTAATTAGTGAGCTTCAGAGGTGACGGTAGGGAATTTAGATAGATCCCATCATAATAACTGTTGGCAAAAAAAAACAAAAAACTAATAAGCAAATATTCCAAAATGTCAAACTATTCCCTTATTTGAATAATTCACAGATTTGGTTGTTGAATTTTGTGGGACATGTTGGAGAGCACAGGTTCACAGAGTGGTCAGTCATAAGGCTTGTTTCATGGTGTGAAAAACATGAAGTGCGTTAGCATCATGTATCTTGTGACTTGTACCATCTCCTTTGTTTCTCTGGGAGTGCATTAGAGGTCAGGATAAATATAGCTTTCTTTACAGAGCTCATCACCACTTTTGGCCTCTATGACAACAGATGTGCATTTTAAACACATATATATATATATACACATATACATATATACATATACATATATACATATACATACATACATATATATATATGTATATATTTTATAAATAGGAAAGGGGTATTGCTCACATGGCTACACAAGGGGGAAGAGAATTACAGAGAATGAGCAATATTAGAAAGGAGAGCAAATAAGAAAAGTCAATGGAACATTTTACGCAAAGCAAAGCAGAAGCAGACGGACACACTTGGTATCGAGGATATGTTTGACTTGCAATGCAGTAGAATTAAGGTTTTTTTGGAAGACACCAGTTATATAAGGCCCTATCTATGTCTCGTCTTTTATTCCAACACACTGTGCTCCGGGTACAGCAGCTGTAGAAAATGCCTCACTTCCCATTGCTCCAAAAATACACAGCCTCCCTGCAGCCAACAGAGGCACATGGCTAATTATCATACTGAATGATGGGAACTTATTCATGACATCATTTGGAGCAAAGGATTTCATTGGTCAAACATAGTTCTGCAGGTAAAAATCCGCTGAAACAAAGGTCCGTTTTTTTTGTTCCGCACAAATATTCCGCAGGGGTGTGCAAGCATCCATAAGAACCCACAAAATCAGCTTTTATTAATTTCCGTGCTAAGTTTTTGGACAAAATCCATGCTGAGTGTGGAACGGCTTAAAGCTGCATTTGAAATTGAGTATTTGTTTCCCGGATATGAAGAGACGTCTAAATTCTATTCTATTCAAATGGCACAAAAATGCTTTACTGATATGGCTCTTCTATAGACTTCAAATTTGAGTGGATCTATTGTATTGTATCAATCATGTCACAGCTGTTCATTTTTCTTAAATAACTGTGTGTGGGGAAAAAAACATTTTTGAGCCAGCATGGGTCAGTACCGACTGTGGCCGCTACACTAACACGGTTACCAGCCTGGCACTGTTCTGGAGGCTGTAAACTAACTAGTCAAGGATCAAGGATGTGCACACAGCCAGAGAACAACGACAAAGACATCTCTGGACATTCCACACATTTAGAAA